TCGGAATTTAAGGAATGACGGATGGTGCTAAACACAGGGAAATTGTTGAGGGAAACCTGTTTCAGTCTTCCAGAGATTTGAGACTGGGATGGAGGTTCACCTTCCAGCAGGACAATGACCCTAAGCATACTGCTAAAGCAACACTCGAGTGGTTTAAGGGGAAACCTGTAGCTCAGTTGGTAGAGCATGGCGCTTGCAACGCCAGGATTGTGGGTTCGTTTCCCACAGGGGGCCAGTATGAAAAATGTAAGCACTCACTAACTGTAAGTTAGCCCAGACCTCAATCCAATTGAGAATCTGTGGTATGACTTAAAGATTGCTGTACACCAGCGGAACCCATCCAACTTGAAGGAGCTGGAGCAGTTTTGCCTTGAATGGGCAAAAATCCCAGTGGCTAGATGTGCCAAGCTTATAGAGACATACCCCAAGAGACTTGCAGCTGTAATTGCTGCAAAAGGTGGCTCTACAAAGTATTGACTTTGGGGGGGGGGGGGGGGTGAATAATTATGCACGCTCAAGTTTTCTGTTTTTTTTTGTCTTATTTCTTGTTTGTTTCACAATAAAAAATATTTTGCATCTTCAAAGTGGTAGGCATGTTGTGTAAATCAAAATGATACAACCCCCCCCCCAAAATCTATTTTAATTACAGGTTGTAAGGCAACAAAATAGGAAAAATTCCAAGGGGGGTGAATACTTTCGCAAGCCACTGTAGGTCACTGCAAACAACACTGATGTGTTGCAGATCACTATTAGGGGTCATGGATATGGTTAAGACCCAGGGTCAAACAGCTTCAGTATTGGCAGTGTTGATTGATGATACTTTTGTAGCAACATTATCCCACCCATAGAAACACAATTAATACAACAGAATATTCTATTCATTGTGGACTAGAATATCAGCATATCAACTGTACCATTTTGAATGCTTGAGTGTGATTCTGTCCTTGTGCTTATCACGATGCTGTACACATAGCAGCAATGACAAAGTCCAGAAGAAAATGGGTAAATTGAAAAAACGTGGATTTTAAGAGTGTTTGTTTCATCTATTCTATTTCTGTGATTCCAACTCACATATTGGGTTACTCCTCTCCTTACGAGAGAGATGTATTGTTGGTATGTTGAGAGTGAGATATGTAGTTTTTGTGCACTGGTCACTCACTTATTGACATGTTAACTTTTGTTAAGTTGAAGTTTACTTTTCCATCAACAAACAATAAACATTTTAAGACATTGAAAAAAATTGCTGTCTGCACAATTGTATTATATTAAATAAAGAAAATGGAACAAATACAAAACAAAAGAATATCAAATAGGCCAAGCTATACCTCACCCATCACCACTTAAAAATACATCTAGGGGAAAAAGCTGAAAGGAAGACATCAGTTTTCAGCCTAATGTTAATAATTTATGTTGTCTGTGCTTTTTTAAATTATTTATTTATTTACTACTTTCTATTCACCAGCCAGTCTGTTTTCAAAGGATTCATAAACAAGAAAGCTATTTCAAACTTTGGAGTTTAGTTTCAAAAGGCTTTCACTGAAGAATGCTAATTTGCCTGTTGGTATATTGTTAGTATGTGGTGCATTTGTGCGTTTTTTCCCTATTACAATACACAGAAAAAAAGGTTCTAAAAAGGTTATATCGCTCGCTTGATATATGGCACCCTAAATTCTATATAGAACCCCAATGAACCCTTTTCCTTGAAAAAAAAAAGGGTTCATTGGGGTTCTACTTTATAGAACCTTTAGGGGTGTGATATATGAAGCAAGCAATATAGAACCCTTTTTGGTTCTATAACCTTTTATTCTAATAGTATACTGTACAAGAAAATATGCAGTTCTTACCAGATCATTCTTTGGAAATGTCCTTTTGGTGCTTATAAGACACTAGCAATATCATTTAGATTAAAATAATTTATGCTACATTTCAGAATAAACAAGACAATCCATTCATGTCGAACAATTGTTTATTATTAATTATGGTACAAATAAATGTGACAGACTTGAAGCTTTTTAGAAATACACAAAGCACAGCTTAAATGACGAAACAGATATTGCTCTATAGCTTAAGTACAATTTCCAGTCCATAAAATTAAAAGCAACCTTTGCAGGTTCATCAGCTTTGGTTTCAAGGTCTTTCTTTGAGTTATAACAATATTTCAAACCAGTTGGTGTATGAGTCTGTGTGGATATAATTTGAAAACATGTATCTTTTTTACATAATTGGGTACGATCATAAAGCGTTCTTTGCCCCCTATAAAATAGGGCACGTCTTGGAGACTGAAACTGAGAAGTGTATGTAACATAGCCACAGAGAGAAAAAAAGCAGAGCAGGTAACAACAAAGTCTAGAAAGTCCATCTGACCTGGAAACCACTTGGCAAAAGTAAAACGAGCGTCATACAGAATCTCTGTTCAGACACCCTCCCCCCATGAGAAGTTAACACTACATTCAAACATACAGGAGTCATTTTTTCTGTCTTTTTTCTATTATGGTTAACGCATGGCATTGCTCACAATGTGTTGGACAGTGGTGAGGTCAAATATCAAAGAACTACTACTTATCTACTCATCGATTCTCTTTGTATTTCAAGATTGTCAGCAACATTAAACCATTTCTCTGTACAATGTGCATATAACCATAGAGCTTTGGTCCAGCATCGAAAGGTTGCGTGAAGGTTTAACTCCGTTCTTTTTGGTTTTGGTTACAGCTTCATTGTTAAGCCTCAGTACTACATGCCCATAATATACAGCAACCACATCATCACTTCTCTTACATGTTGGGATGAGAGGGGATGAGAGACAGAGGGAACACATAAAAGTATTTTTTAATTGATTCAAATCACATATGACTTACAGTATATTATGATTGACCACCATTTAGTAATACTGTCTTACAATATAACACTGTTTACAACTACTTCCTGCAAAAAAAAAAACTTTAATCTTTGCTCAGTGTCGGCCTACAGTAAATAATAAAGGGTAAATGAACACGTAATGGGGCTCCTATGTAGTGCCTCTCAAACCTCAGCCTTCTGTATACTATCCTCAACTATTATCTATTTCCTTATGTGCTTGTAAGTGTTATCAAGTGCACTTTATGCTGCTAGGTAAGCAACAGTGCAACGTGGGACTAAGTGTTTTACATGAATCAAATTAGAACATTTCATATCAATGTGTAACCTTAATAGTTCTGAGAAGTGGTTTTACATGTATGTACCAGTTTGCAATATTCTTTAGAGTAGTTCAGCACAGTGGCAGTAGGCCTATAGGTTATTAACACTCCAGTGGTGTAACAATATGGATTCCTTAAATCCTCCATGTGGGTCCTGGTAATATTGAAGTACACCTATGGGAGGTGAGCTAGACGTTATGATGACACCCTGTTTAGATCCACAGCTACACAGCAATAACACCTTATGATTTGTTGGTTGAAATGAATATGGATTATGTCTTGTGAAAGGGCTAACTTTTTCCAATATACTTTTTGAATTAGGCTATACTGTCTGTCAAGGCATCACTATAGAATCACTAAAAGAAAATAAACACAAAACAGCAACATGACATTTCATAAAACATATTTGACCCCTGAAAACAAAGATTCAGGGATGAGAAAACATTCAGATTGATTAGATTATAATGAGTTACTGAATGCTGAAGGGAAGTAATGCATATTTTGCTTTAAGGGTACAAAAATGTAAAATAATTGCTAAAACCACTAACGTGTAATTTGTTCTCGGTGACAATGTACTCAGAAGAATATACATATATTTATTGATTTGAAGCTTGGGCTGCCTTTTGTGTTTTGTTGTCTTGTTTCCATATTTCTATAAGTCCAACTTTGAGGTTAATCTCAAACATGCAGGAGCAATTCTGCAAACAGACCAAACTAGACACACACTTCAGGAAGGGATGGGTATAAAAGTCCTCACAGTAAAACCCATTTTCTATATTGCAATATCAAAGGGTTGTCAACAAACAAAGAGTTCTCTTTTGGAATCAAAATGTTTCTTGGCATTCTGTTGGCCTTTGTGTAACTTAGTTGAGCTCAGTGTATGAAATAAACTCTACAGTAAAAAGAACCAGAGAAAGGGAACTTAGGCACATAAAAATAACTAAAAACAAGTCCTTGAGCTGAAGTAATGTGTTCTTTGGCTATCAGGCTTTGGCAACAGAATGAGATACAATAGCTTTAGGCATATCCACAATAGAGTTGGTGCACAGAGACAGAACCTATATGGTTAGGTACTGAGTATCCCCTCATTGTTCAGACAGACTTCAGTTTATTACCCTTCCTCCAAAACATAAAAACAATCTCATAAAATCATCGATACATACTTGTAAAAGTTGTACAAAGTTACACTGTGACTGAAAATAGTTGCAGATGAGAAAGAATCTGAGACAAACAATATGGCATTGTTGAACAGCAAAAAATGCATTTACACGACAAATTTGACATTGTGGTTTCAATTTCGTAGATATTTACATATAAACCCAGGAGATAAAATGAAGCGAGACAAAGATAAAATGTACAGCCAAACTCACATATATATCTTAGATTTTCTTGCCAGTACAAATGTAAAAATGTAGAACACATTTACACTTAAAAAATTATTCTTAGTGTTCCGATGCAACAGACTTTGGTAAGTAGTTAGTGTTTTTGTCTTTGATTTTGGCATGATCGCTTTACTAAAATCTCCCTAATGGGAACCCAAATTTGGACAATATTCTGGTCTATGAGGCCAGAACTAGAACTCCATGAATTATTTTCTCTCAAATATTAACATATATTTTTTCTTATTTTTGGATTTCGGCAAGGTCATTTAAATAAATAACTGTGGTAATCACACTGACAACACGTATTCTTGTTTGCAAACTTTCATAAATGTCCTTTCAGTTGACTTTATAAAAGGGGTGGAATGTTCTTTCAGTCTTCATCCCACTTTGGGTCATGATCCACCATGTTGTTAGGACTTTTCTCTTTACCTCTAGTTTTGGTAGTTCATTTTGGGGTCTCATCCAGAGAATCAGAGAGAGGGTCCATGGGCGCGGTCGGGCCGAGGTCCAGGTCCAGGTCACCGGGCTGTTTCAACCGCTTTATTGTGTTTTTCAACGCTTGCCTCTTGTTGCAGAACCAGACGCGGACCACCTCGCGGTCATAGTTCAGTTTCTCGGCTATCTCGGTCATTTCCTGTCCAGAGGGGTGCGTGTTCTTCTCGAAGTGGCTGTTGAGGATCTCCAGAGCATGCGGGGTGAAAGAGGTCCTCCGCTTACGTTTTTTGGAGGGCTCGCTGCCGATAAACTCGGTCAGGTTCTGCATGCCGGACCGGTGGCGGGCCTCGGCCTCGGCCATCCAGCGCTCCAGAACGGGCTTAATCTTCTGGGCGCTTTTTGGGGTGATGTCCAACTTCTCAAACCTGGCAGGATATAAAAGGCCAGGGTTCAGTTTGCCTGTCAGACTGCTACCTATAGTGTTCTCTTGGGCTTCCTGTGGTAGGAAAAAGTGGCTTCTCAGGATGGTGTGTCTGGGGAGAATTGAGAGAGAAGAATCTTACTTAGGTGCCCTGCTGGGCCAAGGGATAACCTGCCTGCCTCAGTGAACTGGAAGGGCCTCCTCTCCCAGACAACTGCCACTGGGACAAAGACACCCACCAGCCTTGGATACATTCATGACAGTGTGTAGCCAAAGTTGTAGCAGTTGGAAGTGAGCGTTATTTTGTTTTTCGCTTGTCTTGTATTTGGTTGTGATTCTCTGTCCCAGAAAGGCAGTGTTGGAGCGAGGAGACCCTGCCATTAGCTAAAAATAGACTTCAGATAGACAAAAAAAAACTGACAGATCATGTGACTATCATGATCAAACACTGAGCTTTAGCAAATGTAGATTACACTACACATTGATGTAAAATATAATCCACATATTATATCACCAATCAACAAAAGGTAAAAAGGGGTTAACCAAACAATGAATTTAACATTATTCCCATACCTTCCCCTGAAGTGATAAAAAAATCTAGGTTTTTAATATGGTGAAAAAGGCAGCAGTGCATGCACTTAGATCTTCTCAGTCGCGTACAAGCAATTTTTGGATCAGTGTTGAAATGTATCTATAGCAGAACAGCAATGATCAAATGCTGAAATACATTTACAGAACTGATCATTTTCTTGCCTTTGTACCTGACTTGCATATCTTAGACCACTTTTCTGCAAAACTTTAAATACAAACGTCAACAATGAATACAAAACTCACTGTTAAGTGTTTTGTTCACAGAATATTAACTCATTGCTTTCATCAGAAGAGGAATGTGTGCAATTGTGTTCACTGTTTCTGGCATTTGTGGTCCTCTATAGCTCAATTGGTAGAGCATGGTGCTTGTAACGCCAGGGTAGTGGGTTCGATCCCCGGGACCACCCATACATAAAAATGAATGCACACGTGACTGTAAGTCGCTTTGGATAAAAGCGACTGCTAAATGGCATATTATAAATAAATACTACTGCACAATATGTTAAATCCCCCCATCAGTGTCATACCATGTACAATATATGGAAAGATCTAGGCAATGGGAACTGTCCAATTGTTGTGATTTTTTTACAATATTGAGGACATGCAGAGATGCAGAGAATGAAGTTGGGTTACTTTTAAGTCTCTTTGGGTTCCTCCTAAGTCATCATCTCCAACACTGTTACCTTCCATTATAGAGCTTTGCTTTGGTGTACATTGAGGCCTATGCATTCATACTGTATCAGTTGTGTTTCCTATTTCTATTGTGGATTGTGTTTCTGTAACCAATTGGAAAGTCTACAAAATGTGAGCAAACCAGCCTATGTATTGAATACATGGAATTGGATCGTGATGATATCGATGAATGAATCCTGCACAACGGGCTTATTATTATATTGTTTTTTAAATCAGGAATAATATTTGATTTGATGTGTATGACATTTTTTGGTGAAATATGCACAAAAGGAGAGTAATTGCCCATAATTCTGCACTTTTGATTGCATGATTTAGTGACTGCAAAGAAAATGTATTGATCTAGTGGGATCTTTTTAAAGACAGACTAACTTTCTGTTTTGTCTGCTTGGACTCAAGAGATAAGTATAGTTGTGTTCATCTTTTTGCAGGCAGTCATGCTCTTTTGATGAATCTATTTGCAATTTTGACTGTATAATATAGTTTAAATGAATGTATTTATGTTTTCAGAAGGCAACTACATTTCGAAAACCTATTTACTGTTTTGCAAAAGGCCACAGAGTTCTGTGTCTTGTGGACTCTGTTTTGAAAATCGTCATTATTCCAAAAAATGCTTGTAAGCGATTTGAGCAAGTGTAAATACATAACTGTAATTTCTTTACAAAAGCAGTTTGAATTATTAATCAAAATTCACATTTTAATACATTTTTCAAACTTTTCTCTCTCCTCAAGCTCTCTTGTATATTTAATATGAATACATTTCCACCCTTCAGACTTGAATATACTTCAGAGTTTATGGATGCATGAAGCATAAGTAATTCTTCAAATGTAATGTATGGTGCACTTTAGTGCTTTTGAAAAGTACCTTCAATAGCACAAAACTATAGTTACAACATTTTGATAGAGTTCCTGAGTCACAAACTGCAGCTGAATTATGGCTTGTTGAATCAGTGTAATCTCAACAAATAGTGGATGCTAATGTACTATTATAACATTTTCAGGAGTATCTGTACTGTAGCTCAGTGTATTCTGACCATGTCAGTTGCAGAGTTCTGTGAGACAAGCACAGAAATGGCTTTTGGCTTTCACATGATGAAGGAAGATGGACCTGGGCTAAAGGCGCTGGGGTTCTCTCATGCTGGGGTCAGTGTCAGAGTGTGGTTTGAGCTGACTGCCTTCTAATGAGAGTCCAGACATCTGTCCAGGTGTTCGGGAGCGAGCAGCTGAGAGAAAAGGTGATCCCCCTTTAAAACAACAGCCGTTCCTGTCCAGGCCTCTTCTAAGACCTTGACCAAAATTGGATGTCTTTGAAAGAATCTTCCTGGCAGGCAGGTGAGGAGATGCCTTAGAGCTGGGGGAAAGGACCCCTCTCACACAAACAAAATGAAAGATATTTCTTAGTGGCAAGTCGGCTGGTTATACAGAACAGTAGGGAAGTGATGCTGCCCTAGCTTACTGAAGAAGGACCCTGCCTGTTTTTTCCTGTTTCCCCTCTCTGATTGTTGTTGCATTTCTGCTTGTCGACTGTCATTATTATTTATAACCACCTTTTAAACAGCGGAAAGAGGACGGTTATATACTGCAGGGAATACTTTAGTAAATATAAGGAGTCGGTAGAGACAGGACATTTAATGGATCAACAGGAACCAAATGCACTAAAATGAGTCGGGAGCTGCTCAGCTGGTTCCCACTGGTTCAGAACCACCTGGAGAAAATAAATACATATCTCTTTTACCCCCCTCCCCCATCTCTCTTAACGGTCTTAAAAGTACCTTTTTCAGGCCATGCGCAAACATCTGCTAAGTGTAGCCCAAAATGAAGGTTTGCATATGACTATCGTACTGTTTATATTTAACCCTTTAAGAATATTGTGAGGCCATGGCTAAGAGTGGGTCTTTGACTGAGTGGAGGGTCCATTACTAACAGAATACAGGGGACTGATATGATGTATTAAATCAGTATCCCATCTTTCAGATATTAATCCAACATACCAGGAGCAGGTAGAGAAAGAAGTGGATGTGATAAAATACAAATATGGAGGATGTGAAGGCGCGTTTCTGCTACAAATATGGAGGATGTGAAGGCACGTTTCTGCTACAAATATGGAGGATGTGAAGGCACGTTTCTGCTACATTGATGCGCAAATTAGAGACAACAGTTTCTTGTCATGAGATATGAATCATTGATGTGGAAGGGCTGTGTTCTAGTGTGAATTAATGTTGTAAATGCATGCAGCTTAAACATGGCAACATAATTGCTCTTCAAGAATTACACCAGCAATGAGTAGTTAAGACAACATTGTGCACCTATGCATTGTGAGCAGTATTCACATCAAGAGCACTGTGAATCTTTGGAGATGTAGCTTCATTGAGGTGGAGGTGGATTCAAACTTCATGCATATTTTTCTGCAATAAAATGTGTCCTCCATTTGTGAAAGAATCGATGCCATCAATCATCATTTGCAACATTATCTATAAATAATTTATACAATAGAATAATAGTTTGTGTTTAACCCTTAAATATGACATGCAGCAATATGACAGATTGTATTTACTGTATGTACCAAGCACTCTATCATAAGACAAGATCCAAACCCATTGGTTTGATGATGTACTTATGGGATGTTTGTTCCCCTGTGATAAGCTAATAAAGCTTTTTAACAAAGTGAGCAATGAAATCAGACAAGATGGAACCATCTGTCACTGTCTGTTCCAGTGATATAGGACAACAACATGCCCCTGAGCTAGCATGCAGTCCCCTCTTCTCCTCCAACTTCCATGACTCTGTTGATGTTAACTAAACTAAAGCATGTGAAGACTGCCTCTTTACTTAAAACATAGAAGATGCTTGTCATGTCCAATGTCATACAAACAAAAAAAGACTGTCTTACCGACATAAATAAACCCACAAGGACATATTACCTGTTTATTTATTTTTAAGCTAATGGCTTTTAATGTATGTTATAAATATCTGAATTATGGATGCTTGTAAATATTTCATGTGTGATTTTTAAGACTTTAAACATTAGTTTGAAAGGGCTGTCCATTATAAGAACCCTGCTCCCTCCAGTTTCAGATTATATCGGCCGTTTGATGTTGATGTTAAAAGCCCATTGCACCAATGTGTCACATAAGCAGGGCAGCAGGTCATCAGCAAAGCACATGTATTTCAGAAACGCATTAGAAAATGAATACAGGAATATGACGGGGTACAGTGCTGATAACTATTGACAGTGAACCATGCAACTATGGTAAAGCAAAATACTATGGGTAGAGAAAAATGAAAAGGTAACAGGAAATTAGCCACAGTAAGGTCACGACCAAATGCCAGAACTTAAGTAAACGTGATTATGATATTGTTAAAACTATTGATTTCACTTGTAGTCCTCTGTAGCTCAGTTGGTAAAGCATGGCGTTTGCAATGCCAGGATAGTGGGTTCAATTCCCGGGACCACTCATTTGTAGAATGTATGCACGCATGACTGTAAGTCGCTTTGGATAATAGCGTCTGCTAAATGGCATACAGTATATTACATGTTCGGGGAGGAAAAACTGAAACAAAACATACATTATTATACTTTTTGATCATATGAAACTCTTTGTGTTAATATAATGGTACCCACCCTATGTGACTTTGCCTGATTAGAGATACTGTAGGTGTATTTCTAAAGGGTCTAGTTCATTGGTACTAAAGTTAACCAGGTGGAAGGAAGGCATAAAAAGGAAGAGACTATCTCGTAAAACACTATATGTCTGATTATCTAATGAATAGATAATGCAGCTGTTCATGACTAAACGCATGTCCTTACGGGACTGTAGAACACAACAATCTTATTAACAGACCAGTTCTTGCCAGGTTCTCTTAAGCCCAATGTAGAGGGAACAGCAATAGGCCTTAGTAATTATTAAATGCTTTAAGTGCTTCGTGTAATACTCTAGGTAATGTATTTTGCATAAAGAACAGCGCTGTCGTGTGAGAGGAGAGAAAGAAGTGGACAAAGAGCTTCATTTGACTGGATGGTCTTCAATTATGTATTCATTTTAATATCTTAATGATGTCTGCTTAAATATGAGATGAAATATGGATGTGAGCCGTCATGGACACCAGAAGATTATGTGCACTCTCAAATACAGCAGTGCTGAGTGCTTTCATCTACTGTAGCTACTACTGCATACTGACAGGAGTGCAGCAAGAGGGTCAGTTGAACTACAGAGAAATGATTGTCCATCATTCAGATATGAAATGGTATAATACATATTTACTTCCATAAAACTGGTAATATACAGTGAGGGAAAAAAGTATTTGATCCCCTGCTGATTTTGTACGTTTGCCCACTGACAAAGAAATGATCAGTCTATAATTTTAATGGTAGGTTTATTTGAACAGTGAGAGACAGAATAACAACAAAAAGATCCAGAAAAACGCATGTCAAAAATGTTATAAATTGATTTGCATTTTAATGAGGGAAATAGGTATTTGACCCCCTCTCAATCAGAACGATTTCTGGCTCCCAGGTGTCTTTTATACAGGTAACGAGATGATATTAGGAGCACACTCTTAAAGGGAGTGCTCCTAATCTCAGTTTGATACCTGTATAAAAGACACCTGTCCACAGAAGCAATCAATCAATCAGATTCCAAACTCTCCACCATGGCCAAGACCAAAGAGCTCTCCAAGGATGTCAGGGACAAGATTGTAGACCTACACAAGGCTGGAATGGGCTACAAGACCATCGCCAAGCAGCTTGGTGAGAAGATGACAACAGTTGGTGCGATTATTCGCAAATGGAAGAAACACAAAATAACTGTCAATCTCCCTCGGAGATCTCACCTCGTGGAGTTGCAATGATCATGAGAACGGTGAGGAATCAGCCCAGAACTACACGGGAGGATCTTGTCAATGATCTCAAGGCAGCTGGGACCATAGTCACCAAGAAAACAATTGGTAACACACTACGCCGTGAAGGACTGAAATCCTGCAGCGCCCGCAAGGTCCCCCTGCTCAAGAAAGCACATATACAGGGCCGTCTGAAGTTTGCCAATTAACATCTGAATGATTCAGGTGAAAGTGTTGTGGTCAGATGAGACCAAAATCGAGCTCTTTGGCATCAACTCAACTCGCCGTGTTTGGAGGAGGAGGAATGCTGCCTATGACCCCAAGAACACCATCAACACCGTCAAACATGGAGGTGGAAACATTATGCGTTGGGTGTGTTTTTCTGCTAAGGGGACAGGACAACTTCATCGCATCAAAGGGACGATGGACGGGGCCATGTACCGTCAAATCTTGGGTGAGAACCTCCTTCCCTCAGTCAAGGCATTGAAAATGGGTCGTGGATAGGTATTCCAGCATGACAATGACCCAAAACACACGGCCAAGGCAACAAAGGAGTGGCTCAAGAAGAAGCACATTAAGGTCCTGGAGTGGCCTACCCAGTCTCCAGACCTTAATCCCATAGAAAATCTGTGGAGGGAGCTGAAGGTTCGAGTTGCCAAACGTCAGCCTCGAAACCTTAATGACTTGGAGAAGATCTGCAAAGAGGAGTGAAACAAAATCCCTCCTGAGATGTGTGCAAACCTGGTGGCCAACTACAAGAAACGTCTGACCTCTGTGATTGCCAACAATGGTTTTGCCACCAAGTACTAAGTTATGTTTTGCAGAGGGGTCAAATACTTATTTCCCTCATTAAAATGCAACTCAATTTATAAAATGTTTGACATGCGTTTTTCTGGATTTTTTTGTTGTTATTCTGTCTCTCACTGTTCAAATAAACCTACCATTAAAATTATAGACTGATCATGTCTTTGTCAGTGGGCAAAAGTACAAATCAGCAGGGGATCAAATTCTTTTTCCCTCACTGTATTGTATTTATTTGTCATTTTAATACCACAATTAGTTAGTAAACTTAAATTCTGCACTGCAGTAAAGAAAAACCCATTTATCACTTGATGGGAAGGATAGGAATATTCCTGAAGACACCATAATCAACAGATCTATGCTAAGATATACCATGCTTCGATGTTAATCACTTGGAACCCCAAGCGTTCCTTACCTGCAGATGGCAGACTGACTATAGGCTGGGCCCTCGGCCACGCTGAGAGCCTGACCCACCTGAGTCTGGGTCAGGCCCAGGGACAAGCGGCGGATCTTGAACGCTTTGGCGAACTCCCGAATCTCCTCCATGTTGACCCCATCCACCTCGCTGGAGGCCATCTGGGGGTCTACAATACAACAGAGAGAGAGGGGGTCAAAGAACGAGGAGGACCAAGGCACTCTTCATATAGTTTAAAAGAAAAGGAAAATCCGCACACTAGATGCAATTATTTATTCACCAACGTTTCGACAGCAAGCTGTCTTCATCAGTGTTTCTCTTCATGTAGTTAAAATGCCTTTATTGTGATGGCCTGTTCAATAGACGAAAATCTAAAAAACTCTTCGTCAGGGAGTGCAGAGGGAGTCGGGTTTCAGTTACCTGAATAGCACTGTTAAAAGTACTGGATACAAACAATATAGCTAATACATATACATTCCAATATAATGTGACCATGCTGCTCTCTGATGATGAACAAAGAGTAGCTTTAGAAAATATATTATGAAATCTACAATCAGTTAGCAGTGATTCTCATTTTGGTGCTTCTCTGCCCCTCTCTAGTTGATAATAGCAGTCTCTGTACAGCATGTGCTGTATCAATGGTAGTGAGAGTGAAAGGCTGGCTTTGCGTTTAACACTAAATTGAAAATGTTCCTCCTTTAATCTTCCATATAAAAGCTCATACAACAGACTCCGCGGCATAAAGCCATGCCTATTTAATAAGTAAACATTCCTTCTTTCATTAAGAAGAATAAGCAGTCTGAAAGCAAACAGCTTTATAACCCACTCTCCCTGCTTTTATCATTTTTTTAAAGTCTGTGGAATCTTTATTAGAGAATCATTCCCATTCATGTGTCCCTCCTTTGGGTTAGTCAATTGAGGCCTCCACAGAAAGACTGTGCTGCTGTGCGCTGCACAACTCAAGTGTTGAAAGATGACATAAAACTCCTCTGTGTAGAATTCACTTTATAGAAATGTTTTTGTAAATTGCTGCTTTGCAGACCCCCATATCCACTGAGTGTACAAAACATTAAGGACACCTTCCTACTATTGAGTTGCACCCCCTTTTGCACTCAGAACACCTCTACAAGGTGTCGAAAGCGTTCCACAGGGATGTTGGCCCATTTGACTCCAATGCTTCACACAGTTGTGTCAAGTTGGCTGAATGTCCTTTGGGTGGTGGACCATTCTTGATACACATGGGAAACTGTTGAGCGTGAAGAACTTAGCAGCGTTGCAGTTCTTGACACAAACTGGTGTGCCTGGCTAGGGCTGTGGCGGTCCTGAAAGAACAAAACCCTGTCCTCAAACATTTACATCAAAAGGTGCAAAGTTATGGGCAAAGATACAAAACATCCACATCATATAAGCTGTTGATTGTCATTCAAATAACTGCCGGTCTCATGGTAATTGACACATTTAGCATCTCTGGCTTCCACACATAGCCTGCAAGCCACGGATGTGGACCTTTGGAACATCTACATTTAAAAAAGTATAATAAATCCATTTAATATAGCCATTATTTAATAATCCATTATTTATTTTAGGCACCTCTAAAGAAACATTATGATATTAAGAAAATGTAGCCCATTTCAGAAGAATAGAATAACATACTGAGTCATCCTTATGTTAGGCCCTGATCTGGCTATGCCATATGGCTGTGGGCTACACTAGTTCATTTAGCAGGCAAGATTTTCTTATAATTCTCGTGCATTTTTTAATATTACTCTATAGTAAGAACAATACAATTGAACATAGCTGAATAAAATAGAAAGGATATTTTTCCCCAAACGAGTTGAGGGAGTGCGCACATGCGGCTATTCTGTTTTGAGCGGTTAACAAATAAACAGGTCCTCCTATATGCTTAATTTAGAGTTATTTATGAAACTTTAGCTGTGATACAAACGTTAGGCTATATGTTTTGATTTCTAATACATTCTAAGGCTGCTGGAAGTAGTTTAGGGGTGTTGCGATTTTTTTGCCGGGGGATGCAGAATTTTATTTTTGCCCGCGTTGAAGACATCTACATCATTTCACTTTTGTGAAAACATTTTAACTGAATGTATTTGAGTGTTTACCAGCATTTATATATTGAGTCTGATAATTATCTGTACAAACCAGTTAATCTGATAATACTTGTGGAATATAGAAATACTTGCTTGGTATATGTTTTCCAGTTTCTTGAAATACTTTGCAAATGCAACTTATTTCTATGTGAAAACTGAAATGGTCTATTCATTCCTTTTCAGTAGACACTCTTATCCAGAGCAACTTACAGTAGTGAGTGCATACATTTTCATACTGGTCCCTCATGGGAATCGAACCCACAACCCTATAAGCGCCATGCTCTACCTACTGAGCCACATCCTCACATCACCTCATCACAAACCACTTGATGTCTCAATGTACTCAATTACTGTATTGTGCATTGCTTTTCTTCATGGTGATGGAAAGTCTACAGGTACAAACCTAGATGACCAGCTAATGTACAATACAGTAATGTATAATACAGTAACTGCACAAAAAGTGGTTGTTTTCCATGTTATTTGATCAAGAAAAATATTTAATTTGATTAGGATGTTTTGTATCTTTACCCATAACTTTCCACCTTTTGATGTAAATGTTTGAGGACAGGGTTTTGTTCTTTCTGGATTCCATTAGAATGACAATCACAGAGAAAGGGACAGGGCAACAACTCTTACAATTCCAACGATTGAATCCGGCAACTGTCACACCCTGATCTGTTTCACCTGTCTTGTGCTTGTCTCCACCCCCCACCAAGTGTCTCCCATTTCCCCCCATTATCCCCTGTGTATTTATACCTGCATTTTCTGTTTGTCTGTTGCCAGTTCGTCTTGTCTTGTTCAGGTTGTACCAGCGTTTTTCCTGTTTTCAAGTTTTGTTTTCTAGTCTACCCGGTTCTGACCTTTCTGCCTGTCCTGACCCTGAGCCTGCCTGTCATCCTGTACCTGCCTGACCTGGTTTACGAACCCCTGCCTGCCCTCGACCTGCCGTTTGCCTGCCCCCTGTGTTACAATAAATACCTGAGATTCGAACTATCCGCCTCCTGTATCTGCATCTGGGTCTTATCCTGAGTCGTGAAAGCAACATTCCGTTCTTAATTATACAACTACCTTTTTAGCCAAAGCGGAGATGCTGAAAAACAACGTTGCCCGCGCTACAGACGTCTATATATGTCCGCTAATACTAGTAAAGTCCCAGTGCACTACTTTTGTGAAAAAATATATTTTTCCAAAATAATATATATTTACATTTTATTCTGATTTTTTAGGGGGTGCTGCAGCGCCCTCAGCACCCCTACTTCCCGTGGCGCTGCATGAAAGGGAAGCACTCTGATCTGTTTCTTGTGCAGGCTGCACACACTTCATCAGTCTTTCATTCACAATTTGACAAGCACTTGATAATATGCTCATGCAGTATTCTCAATTTAATCTGGTCTTTACATATAGCCTACTAATATATGTGTAGAATACATTTTTATTTAGAAATGGCCAACAACAAAAAAAAGTTATCCATAGCCTGCACTGGAATAGCGAATGGAGGTTACCAGCAGTTACTTTTTTAATATGCTAGGTAGGCTATACTGTTTTTGAGCAATAAATATAGCAGTACGACAAAGCTGGGATCTGCTTTTATCACCTGCTGTGTGTTCAGAAAGAAATGAAATCATTTAGAATAGCCTACTACATCAGCCGTAAGCCGTAGAGGCTCAATAGCTTATTTAAAAAATAGCTTAGCTGTGGATTGTGTGGAGCCCAATATGAAGGCATATTCTACAGTCGGGAATCGCGCCGCAAATCTGTCGGTGAACAGCATGCAGACAAAACAGACCTTTCGCAATATTTCTAATACAATCGCCGGAAAACACAGGTTGGAAAGCAAATGGCTCCTGCTGAAAAGAAAAGAGACTAATCCGTATGCTGTAGACTACCAAAGTGTTTTAGCAACTTCCAAATATTGTTTTACAAAGTAAAACAAGAGAGAGAGGCTTTTGGCACGAACGCATCGGCCATCACCTGCGAGTGACCTGCACATCATTGGGTGAGTCAGTGAAACTGGAAAGCATTTTTAGGACTATAATTTCCTCCTCATATTGTAACCTACAATATGTGTCTACACACACCTAGGCTATTGATGGATTCAAGACAAGGTCATTTTTATAGATCTCAGATTCTCAGCTTGTCAGTGTCAAAGTAGCCTGTCATTTTGATAATTTGTGAGGTATTAAAAAAGATTCTGCCAGTCTCAAGTCTCATGAAGTGTTTGATTTGATTTTCGATTTCATTTGCATTGATGTCAGAGTGATTAGAGGGACAATAGAGTGCTGAGTACCGGCCATTAGCAAGTTTGGTAGGCTACTAATGACCATCAGAGGCATCAGAACACAGTTTTGGAGAAGCCTAGATACAGTAACTCAACGGTCACATCGTATTTGACTGCGGTCATGACTCCTGACTGTCAGTGTGGGGGTAATACGGTCACCTTAACAGCCCTACGACTGGCACCTACTACCATACTCCGATCAAAGGCACTTAAATATTTTGTCTTGCCCATTCACCCTCTGAATGGCACACATACACAATCAATGTCTCAATTGTCTCAAGGCTTAAACATCCTTCTTTAACCGGTCTCCTCCCCTTCATCTACACTGATTGAAGTGGATTTAACAAGTGACATCAATAAGGGATCATAGCTTTCACCTGGATTCACCTGGTCAGTCTATGTCATGGAAAGAGCAGGTGTTATTAATGTTTTGTACACTCAGTGTAAGTGACTTTAGGAAACGTTTTCCCCCAAAGCATTTGAAGAATTTCATCGCTAATAAAAAGTGATTTCACATTCTACACATTATGCCCTGGCATACTGTTACTAAAGCAAAGTTTGTGCCGGTGAATTATTCATCTTGGTCATGATCAATGAATTATTAAAGGAATCCTCCAAGCCTATTTAAAGAAAAATCTATGGGGCTGCCATCTCGCCGTGAGGCCTCATAAGTGGGGCTTCCGAGCTTCTACAGCGGTGTGGCGGCTGATTTCGGACGGAGTCAGGCGCAGGAGAGTAAATCACAGAATATATAGTTTAATCAGGAACACAGCGGTACGCAGCAATGCGTAATACACTCCAGTGCGGTAAATACGGTGCACTGGAGAAACAAGGCACACGGGTGAATATCCCGGGCGATACAAAATACAATAGCTCCACCGAGCTATAATATCCTCTACAATAAAGAATCACACCCAAAGACATGGGGGGCAGAGGGAATACTTATACAGGTACTGATGAGGGGATATGAACCAGGTGTGTGTAATAAACAAGACTAAACAAATGGAATGATGAGATGAGGAGCGGCAGTGGCTAGAAGGCCGGTGACGACGAACGCCGAAGCCTGCCCGTACAAGGAGGGGAGGCAGCTTCGGAGGAAGTCGTGACAGGCGGCCGAGCTCCAAACGTGTGAACATTTGGAGACCTATGTAGTGCAATACTTTTGACCAGGGCCCATAGTATAGTTTTTTACTTCATGGAGGGTTCATCTGGTCAAAAGTAGTGCACTATATAGGGAATAGGGTGCCATTTGGGATGCAGACCCTTTCCGTCTTAAAACAACCCCTAGACTCAATGCCTGTGCGGAAATCGAATTAGCATAATACAATATCCCCATCAAAATCTGTCTGTTTAAACTAGAGATATCATTTTTTTGCATGGCTGTATCTCAATCTAACGCATCCGCAGATGTCAGCCTTCCGCATCTGCGATGGAAGGTGGCAGAGCTACAGCAGTGTTTGTCAGACCAGGGCCCGTATGCACAAAGCATCTCAGAAAAGGTCCTAGGAATCCTGTTAAAACCTGTTTCAAGACGAAAAAACTACTAGCTAGGAGTAGGGTTTAGGACGATGTTAATTTTTTACAACTTTTATTTTGGTAAACCATTGAGACCAGGGTCTCATTTACAATTGTGCCCTGAGGACAACAATACAAATTCAAAATGTCTCCTGAGTGGCGCAGTGGTCTAAGGCACTGCATCGCAGTGCTAACTGTGCCACTAGAGATCCTGGTTCGAATCCAGGCTCTGTCGCAGCCGGCCGCGACCGGGAGACTCATGGGCGGCGCACAATTGGCCCAGCGTCGTCCAGGGTAGGGGAGGGAATGGCCGGTAGGGATGTACCTCAGTTGATAGAGCATGGCAGGGTTGTGGGTTCGATTCTCACGGGGGGCCAATAAAATAAAAAAATGTATTCACTAACTGTAAGTCGCTCTGGATAAGAGCGTCTGCTAAATGACTAAAATGTAAATGTAAATGTAAAATGATCAATACAAATTACACAATCAACCCTACAGCTTCAAACACCACAAATACAATTATTTAGTTGCAATTCTCATTAAATTCATTCAACATTGAATCCTAAACTGCCCTAGAGGCACCAGAGAGTCAAGATGTAGGGAGTTTTGTAGGCTATTCCAAAAATGGGGGTCACTAAAACTGAAGGCGGATTTACCTAGATCGGTATGTACTAGTGGAACCTCGAGAGGTAACCATCTCTGTGAACGGGTTTGGTTTTAATATTTTCACATTTTAACAGTGAGGTGAGGTAGGTTGGAAGCTTGTGTAGTAGAGCTTTGTAAACAAAAAGGGAGTAATGAAGTGATATACGGGACTTTAATGAGGACCAGCCAACCTTTTGATACAAATCAAATCACATTTTATTTGTCACATGTGCCGAATACAACAGGTGTAGACCTTACTGTGAAATGCTTACTTACAAGCCCTTAACCAACAATGCCGTTTTAAGAAAAAAATACGTAACACAATAAAATAACAATAACGAGGTTATATACAGGGGGTACAGGTACCGAGTCAATGTGCTGGGGTACAGGTTAGTCGAGAGATACAGGATGCAGTGATGGGTATCAAAACTGTAACCTGTGATAAAGTGAAGGGCGCTATGGTAGACGGCATTCAAAGGTTTAAGAGTAGTAGCTGCTGCATTCTGATAAATGCCATAGTCAAGAACTGACAGGAAAGTTGACTGTATAATCTGCTTCCTTCTGTTTAGGGAGAGGCATGATCTATTTCTATTTAAAAAAAACTACTTTAAATCTCAGTTTCTTAACTAGCTCATCCGTATGTTTTTTAAACGTCAAAATATTGTCAATCCAAAAGCTCAGATATTTATAGGCTGGAACCTGCTTGACGAAAGAACCATCCAATGCATAAATGTGTAAGCCATCAGAAATATTTTTACGAGAATCAGAAAAACAGCATTCATTTAGTTTTTCCCACATTAACTACCAATTTTAAATCAATCAGGACTTTCTGCAAGGCAACAAAATCAGATTGCAGCTCCAACACAGCCTGGTCAGCCGTAGGGGCAATAGCGTACATAACAGTGTCATCTGCATACAGATGAATGTTACAGGTTTTTGCAGATAGACCATTATTATTTATATAAATAGTAAAGAGGACAGGTCCCAAAATCGACCCTTGCGGGAAACCTTTAGTAATATCGAGGTAACTTGACACCGTCAGTAGGCACAGTGTTCTGTCTGACAGATAGTTCCCAAACCACTTGCAAGACTCCTGGTCGAGCCCCATTTCAGACAACATTTGAATGAGTAGGGGATAGTCGACAGTATCAAAGGTCTTGGATAGGTCTATAAATATGGCAGCACAGCGATTCCTATGATCTAAGTAATTTAATATATCACTTAAGAAAAGCGTAGCTGCTGAAACGGTGCTATGTCCAGGTCTAAAACCAGACTGGCACACATTAAGAATATAATTTGAAGTTTAAAAAGTTCTTAGATGAGAGGTTGCCAGTGATTCTAATATTTTTGCAAGACAGTTTAGAAATTGGGCAGTAGTTATCTAGGTCATGCGCTGCCTTCCTGATCTTAGGGATAGCACCAAAGGCAATTGTTAAATAACACATTTTGGGTCAAAGGTTCTACGCTGAGGGGGGCAGAAAGCTGCAGTAGAAAGGGATCAAGCGACTCAGCTCCTATGGATTTTGTTACATCCATTTTTTTGCAAGGCACTTAATACATCATTAACATAAAATGGTTCAAATGAGAGAAAAAAAGAGTGCCTGGAAGTGCATCATTCTCTGCTATCTGTTTAGAGGTGAATAAAGGATTCCCTCTAGTGGAAGTTGAGGTCTTTTCAGAAACCATTCTTTCAAATAGATGGCCAGCTGAGGCAAAATGGTTATTAAAAGCACCACAAATGTATTTTTGTCTGTTATGGTACCAGAGACTGTCATAACCTGCTGGGGCAATGAGGGGGTGGAGTTATTTTCAAAGATTTGAATTTAGCTGGATTTCTACCACTCTCAGATACACAATTCAATAAGTATGTTGACTTTGCTTTTCTAACCAGAGTAAGACATTTCTCAAATATCTGAAGGACTGCCAGTCAGAGGTAGAATCAGTAAATCTAGCCTTAGCCCAAGCTAAGTTTTCTTTCAGAAAATTAATGCGTGATCTGTCCTTTACCCTTAATCTCTTATATGGGGTATGCTTATCTGCAACAGAGTATTGTGTATGTTAAGACACCGCTTTTAACAACTATCAGAATTGATTTAAAAAAAGGTTACGCATGTCAACATATTAGGCAAGAATTAAAAGTAAGCGAAAATTATACAAAACGTTTTACCATTGCAACATTTGATGTGCAGTCACATTCAACGTGGTTGTCAAGAGTGCTATAGAGTTCAATGCTGGTGATTTTAGCATGTAAATGTTGTTGGGGCAAACTCTTTTTTTCTTGTTGCATGCCAGCAAAGCCACTACACAACACAACACTAAACAATACATTAATTGCACTATAACAGTGACAAACGGTGCCCACAAACTGTTAGGGCATACATAAAGCTGTGCCGACAGCAGAGCTTTCTGTTCAGGACCATGGAGTGAATCCTTAACACCGCTACACCTGGCTATCAGCAGAGCCTCAACTGGCAGCGGAAAAAGTTCATTCAGCCTCGTTTACCGCCTTTTTAAAACAATAGCTGATATGGCTGACTTGCTTAAATAAATATGGTTTCTACTGACTTGTGGAGTTGCGTAACTAGATAAAAAAATGCATTCTCCTTCAATAATAACGAATGCCGAAATGAGTTTGGCTTTTGAGCCATACACAAATATTATTACATTTATGTTCAGTAGATTCATAATGATTGTTCATATACCATTAACACTAAGCCCTAAGTATAAGCAAGTGCAAGCAAACAAGCTGCGACGAGGTAGGCCTTCGTTCAGCACTTTCAAAATGGACACAGACAGAAATTTAGATAGGTGTTAGTTTAGATAAATTCAGCAAGATGTTGAGGCGTTAACTTTACTCTTCTTTAAGTCACCACAGAGAGAGAGAGAGAGAGACTAAGTATGTGAAGTATGAATAAGATACTAATGAGATAGACCTATATAAGCAATATAACAATTGAGATGTACAAAGTATGGCATAATGGAATGATGAGCTGATAAGAGGCAATTTTGATTAAGACATTAATGAGCGAGCTCAGATGGACGATATGCCTATTTGTTCAGCACTTTTGAAATGGACAGCGACATAATTCAGAACATGGGCAGTTCTTACAGTATTCTCCCTGTACACCAGGTCAAAATGTAGGATAAATAACGGGCATATAAGCAGACAATGAAAGCTTCTACAATATTCGATAATGACATTTCTCTAAAACTGGCTATAGGCTACATGAGCACCACCAAGTCAGAACAGTAGGCTAAGTTATGTATTAAGTATACAGTGAGAGAAAAAAGTATTTGATCCCCTGCTGATTTTGTACGTTTGCCCACTGACAAAGACATGATCAGTCTATAATTTGAATGGTAGGTTTATTTGAACAGTGAGAGACAGAATAACAACAACAAAATCCAGAAAAACGCATGTCAAAAATGTTATAAATTGATTTGCATTTTAATGAGGGAAATAAGTATTTGACCCCTCTGCAAAAGATGACTTAGTACTTGGTGGCAAAACCCTTGTTGGCAATCACAGAGGTCAGACGTTTCTTGTAGTTGGCCACCAGGTTTGCACACATCTCAGGAGGGATTTTGTTCCACTCCTCTTTGCAGATCTTCTCCAAGTCATTAAGGTTTCGAGGCTGACGTTTGGCAACTCGAACCTTCAGCTCCCTCCACAGATTTTCTATGGATTAAGGTCAGGAGACTGGCTAGGCCACTCCAGGACCTTAATGTGCTTCTTCTTGAGCCACTCCTTTGTTGCCTTGGCCGTGTGTTTTGGTTAATTGTCATGCTGGAATACCCATCCACGACCCATTTCCTATGCCCTGGCTGAGGGAAGGAGGTTCTCACCCAAGATTTGACGGTACATGGCCCCGTCCATCGTCCCTTTGATGCGGTGAAGTTGTCCTGTCACCTTAGCAGAAAAACACCCCCAAAGCATAATGTTTCCACCTCCATGTTTGACGGTGGGGATGGTGTTCTTGGGGTCATAGGCAGCATTCCTCCTCCTCCAAACACGGCGAGTTGAGTTGATGCCAAAGAGCTCGATTTTGGTCTCATCTGACCACAACACTTTCACCCAGTTCTCCTCTGAATCATTCAGATGTTCATTGGCAAACTTCAGACGGGCCTGTATATGTGCTTTCTTGAGCAGGGGACCTTGCGGGCGCTGCAGGATTTCAGTCCTTCACGGCGTAGTGTGTTACCAATTGTTTTCTTGGTGACTATGGTCCCAGCTGCCTTGAGATCATTGACAACATCCCCCCGTGTAGTTCTGGGCTGATTCCTCACCGTTCTCATGATCAATGCAACTCCACGAGGTGAGATCTTGCATGGAGCCCCAGGCCGAGGGAGATTGACAGTTCTTTTGTGTTTCTTTCATTTGCGAATAATCGCACCAACTTTTGTCACCTTCTCACCAAGCTGCTTGGCGATGGTCTTGTAGCCCATTCCAGCCTTGTGTAGGTCTACAATCTTGTCCCTGACATCCTTGGAGAGCTCTTTGGTCTTGGCCATGGTGGAGAGTTTGGAATCTGATTGATTGATTGCTTCTGTGGACAGGTGTCTTTTATACAGGTAACAAGCTGAGATTAGGAGCATTCCCTTTAAGAGTGTGCTCCTAATCTCAGCTCGTTACCTGTATAAAAGACACCTGGGAGCCAGAAATCTTTCTGATTGAGAGGGGGTCAAATACTTATTTCCCTCATTAAAATGCAAATCAATTTATAACATTTTTGACATGCGTTTTTCTGGATTTTTTTGTTGTTATTCTGTCTTTCACTGTTCAAATAAACCTACCATTAAAATTATAGACTGATCTTTTCTTTGTCAGTGGGCAAACGTACAAAATCAGCAGGGGATCAAATACTTTTTTCCCTCACTGTAGGTTAAGTTCTGAGGGGGAGAGGGACCAAATTCTTAGGGTGAGACACACTACTAACAGCTTACTACACAACATACACAAAGTATTACTTTCCTAGCTATAGTATACATACAGTACCAGTCAAAAGTTTGGACACACCTACTCATTCATGGGTTTTTCTTTATTTGTACTATTTTCTACATTGTAGAATAATAGTGAAGACCTCAAAGCTATGAAATAACACATATGGAATCATGTAGTAACCAAAAAAGTGTTAATCAAATCAAAATATATTTTATATTTGAGATTCTTCAAAGTAGCCATCCTTTGCCTTGATGACAGCTTTGCACACTCTTGGCCTTCTCTCAACCAGCTTCATGAGGTAGTCACCTGGAATGCATTTCAATTAACAGGTGTGCCTTGTTAAAAGTTAATTTGTGGAATTTCTTTCCTTCTTAATGCGTTTTAGCCAATCAGTTGTGTTGTGACAAGGTAGGGGTGGTATACAGAAGATAGCCCTATTTGGTAAAAGACCAAGTCCATATTATGGCAAGAACAGCTCAAATAAGCAAAAGAAACAACAGTCAATCATTTCTTTAAGACATGAAGGTCAGTCAATCCAGAAAGTTTCAAGAACTTTTAAGTGCAGTCGCAAAAACCATCAAGCGCTGTGATGAAACTGGCTCTCATGAGGACTGTCACAGGAAAGGAAGACCCAGAGTTACCTCTGCTGCAGATGATAAGTTCATTAGAGTTACCAGCCTCAGATTGCAGCCCAAATAAATGCTTCACAGAGTTCAAGTAACAGACACATCTCAACATCAACTGTTAAGAGGAGACTGCGTGAATCAGGCCTTCATGGTCGAATTGCTGCAAATAAACCACTACTAAAGGACACCAATAAGAAGAAGAGACTTGCTTGGGCCAAGAAACACGAGCAATGGACATTAGACCGGTGGAAATCTGTCCTTTGGTCTGATAAGTCCAAATTTAAAATGTTTGGTTCCAGAGTAGGTGAACGGATGATCTCCGCATGTGTGGTTCCCACCGTGAAGCATGGAGGAGGAGGTGTGATGGTGTGGGGGTGCTCTGCTGGTGACACTGTCTGTGTTTTATTTAGAATTCAATGCACACTTAACCAGCAAGGCTACCACAGCATTCTGCAGCGATACGCCATCCCATCTGGTTTGCGCTTAGTGGGACTATCATTTGTTTTTCAACAGGACAATGACCCAAAACACACCTCCAGGCTGTGTAAGGGCTATTTGACCATGGAGATTGATGGAGTTCTGCATCAGATGACCTGGCCTCCACAATCACCCGACCTCAAGATTGAGATTTGTTTGGGATGAGTTGAACCGTAGAGTGAAGGAAAAGCAGCCAACAAGTGCTCAGCATTTGTGTGAACTCATACATAATATATTGGCCATGCTGTCAATCCAGCATGACTTCTGCCGGGTTCAAAACAACTGGGAACTCAGAACATGGAACTGGGAAATCTCTGACTTCGGTACGTTCAAGACAACTGGGAACTTGGAAAAAAAAACTAGCTCCAACTGGGAAAATACGTTTTGAACGGTCATCCAACTCAGAATTCCAAGTCGGGAACTCTGATCTCTTTCTAGATATCAGACTTTCCAACCTGAAGATCACTGATGTCATGATTCAACCTCATTTCCCCCCCCCCCCCCCCCCCCGAGTTCCCAGTTGTCTTGAAAGCACCATCAATCCAGAGAATTCCAGACTTTGATGACAAGAAGGAACGCCGCACCACCCTGTTCAACAGCACAACGGTGAGTCCAAAAATAGGCCTATGTCTTGTCCCTGGTATATGATGTAATATACCAGGGATTTTTTATTTAACCAGGCAAGTCAGTTAAGAACAAATTCTTATTTACAATGACAGCCTACCCCGGCCGATGCTGGGCCAATTGTGCACCGCCCTATGGGACTCCCAATCACAGCCAGATTGTGATACAGCCTGGAATCAAACCAGGATCTGTAGTGACGCCTCTAGCACTGAGATGCAGTGCCTTAGACCGCTGCGCCACTCAGGGCCCAACACACTCGGGATACACACAGTACCAGTCAAAAGTTTGGACACACCTACTCATTCATGGGTTTTTCTTTATTTGTACTATTTTCTACATTGTAGAATAATAGTGAAGACATCAAAACTATGAAATAATACATATGGAATCATGTAGTAACCAAAAAAGTGTTAAACAAATCAAAATATATTTTATATTTGAGATTCTTTATATAGCCATCCTTTGCCTTGATGACAGCTTTGCACATTCTTGGCATTCTCTCAACCAGTCTTGAAGGAGTTCCCACATATGCTGAGCACTTGTTGGCTGCTTTTTCTTCACTCTGCAGTCCGACTCATCCCAAACCATCTCAATTTGGTTGAGGTCGGGGGATTGTGGAGGCCAGGTCATCTGATGCAGCACTCCATCACTCTCCTTCTTTGTAAAATAGCCCTTACACTGCCTGGAGGTGTGTTGGGTCATTGTCCTGTTGAAAAACAAATTATAGTCCCACTAAGCCCAAACCAGATGGGATGGTGTATCACTGCAGAATGCTGTGGTCGCAAACGTTGGTTAAGTGTGCCTTGAATTCTAAATAAATCCCAGACAGTGTCACCAGCAAAGCACCCCCACACCATAACACCTCCTCCTTCATGCTTTACGGTGGGAAATACATATGCGGAGATCATCCATTCACCCACACCGCGTCTCACAAAGACACGGCGGGTGGAACCAAAAATCTCAAACTTTTGACCGGTAGTGTAAGTATTCAGACCCTTTACTCAGTACTTTGTTAATGCACCTTTGGCAGCAATTAAGTCTTCTTGGGTATGACGCTACAAGCATGGCACACCTGTATTTGGGGAGTTTCTCCCATTCTTCTCTGCAGATCCTCTCAAGCTCTGTCAAGTGGGATGGGAGCGTCGCTGCAGAGCTATTTTCAGGTCTCTCCAGAGATGTTTGATTGGGTTCAAGTCCGGGCTCTGGCTGGGCCACTCAAGGACATTCAGAGAGACCTGTCCCGAAGCCACTCCTGCGTTGTCTTGGCTGTGTGCTTAGGGTCGTTGTCCTGTTGGAAGGTGAACCTTCGCCCCCAGTATGAGGTCCTGAGCGCTCTGGAGCAGGTTTTCATCAAGGATCTCTCTGTACTTTGCTTCACTCATCTTTCCCTCCATCCTGACTAGTCTCCCAGCCCCTGCCACTGAAAAACATCCCCACAGCATGATGCTGCCACATCCATGCTTCACCGTAGGGATGGTGCCAGGTTTCCTCCAGACATGACGCTTGGCATTCAGGCCAAAGAGTTCAATCGTGGTTTCATCAGAGCAGAGAATCTTGTTTCTCATGGTCTGAGAGTCCTTTAGGTGCATTTTGGCAAACACCAAGCGGGCTGTTATGTGCCTTTTACTGAGGAGAGGCTTCCGTCTGGCCACTACCATAAAGGCCTGATTGGTGGAGTGCTGCAGAGATGGTTGTCCTTCTGGAAGGTTCTCCCATCTCCACAGAGGAACTCTAGAGCACTGCCAGAGTGACCATCAGGTTCTTGAGCACATCCTTTCTCCCCCGATTGCTCAGTTTGGCCAGGCAGCCAGCTCTAGGAAGAGTCTTGGTGGTTCCAATCTTCTTCCATTTAAGAATGATGGAGGCCACTGTGTTCTTGCGGACCTTGAATACTGCAGACATTTTTTGATACCCTACCCCAGATCTGTGCCTTGACACAATCTGGTCTCGGAGCTCTACGGACAATTCCTTCACCATCTGGCAGTCTGACGGAAGAATATGGGTTTGGCGTATGCCAGGAGAACGCTACCTGCCCCCAATGCATAGTGCCAACTGTAAAGTTTGGTGGAGGAGGAATAATGGTCTGGGGCTGTTTTTCATGGTTCGGGCTAGGCCCCTTAGTTCCAGTGAAGGGAAATGTTAACGCTAATCAAATCAAATGTTATTCGTCACATGCGCCGAATACAACAGGTGTAGACCTTACCGTGAAATGCTTACTTACAAGCCCTTAACCAACAATGCAGGTCAAGAAATATAGTTAAGAAAATATTTACTAAATAAACTAAAGTAAAAAATTTAATAAAAAGTAACTCAATAAATTAACAACAACGAGGCTATATACAGGGGGTACCGGTACCGAGTCAATGTGCGGGGGTACAGGTTAGTTGAGGTAATTTGTACATGTAGGTAGGGGTAAAGTGACTCTGCATAGATGTATACACTCACTAACTGTAAGTCGCTCAACAAAGGGGGGGGGGGGGGGGGGGGGGGGGCATTTGATTAATTGTTCAACAGTCTTATGGCTTGGGGGTAGAAGCTGTTAAGGAGCCTTTTGGACCTAAACATGGCGCTCCGTTACCGCTTGCCATGCGGTAGCAGAGAGAACAGTCTATGACTTAGGTGACTGCTACAGCATACAATGACATTCTAGACGATTCTGTGCTTCCATCTTTGTGGCAACAGTTTGGGGAAGGCCCTTTCCTGTTTCAGCATGACAATGCCCCCGTGCACAAAGCGAGGTCCATACAGAAATGGTTTGTCGAGATCGGTGTGGAAGAACTTGACTGGGCTGCACAGAGCCCTGACCTCAACCCCATCGAACACCTTTGGGATGAATTTGAACACCGACTGCGAACAAGGCCTAATCATCCAACATCAGTGCCCGACCTCACTAATGGTCGTAGCTGAATGGAAGCAAGTCCCCACAGCAATGTTCTAACATCTAGTGGAAAGCCTTCCAAAAAGAGTGGAGGCTGTTATAGCAGCAAAGGGGGGACCAACTCCATATAAATGCAGATGATTTTGGAATGAGATGTTGGACAAGCAGGTGTCCACATACTTCTGGTCATGTAGTGTAAATCTATTTTTAAAAATACAAAACAGAAATATCATAATTGGATAAGTCTCCACCCCCTTGAGTTAATACTTGGTGGAAGCACCTTTGGCATCATTTACAGCTTTCGAGTCTGTTGGGATAGGTCTCTACCAACTTTGCTCAGCCTGGGTTCCTAGACTAGACGTAACATAAAAAAATCTAAATCCGGGACATTGAAATTAGTATTATATGTCGCGTTTGGTATGGTTACATAAGACAGAAGGTTACTTAAGGCAAAAATGAAAGGAGGATAGTTTGTCGAGGTGGATGGGTGGGCGCATAACGCGAACGTAGGTTGCGTGTTTGAGTCTCATCACGGACAACTTTAGCATTTTTGCTAATTAGCTACTTTGCAACTACTTAGCATGTTCGCTAACCCTTCCCCTAACACTAACCTTAACCCTTAAACCTAACTCCTAACCTTAACCCCTAACCTTTAGCCTAGCTAATGTTAGCCACCTAGCCACAACAAATTGGAATTTCTAACATATCATACGAATTGCAATTCGTAACATATCATACAAATTATAATTTGTAACATATCATATGAAATGGATGATGGATATCCACAAATTAATACATACCATACAAAACATAACATATAATAATAAATAGAGTATCTCGGATTTACTTACAGAATAATACGAAATGCTCTGAGACCAGGTTGCACACCTAGATTTGGCAATATTTGACCATTCTTCTTTACAAAACTGTTCAAGCTCTGTCAAGTTCCTTTGGGAGCATTGATGGATAGCAATTTTCAAGTCGTGCCACACATTTTCGATTGGATTTAGGTCGAGGCTCTGACTGGGCCACTCAAGGACATTTACCTTTTTATTCCTTAGCAACTCCACTTTAGCTTTGGTTTGAGTCGTTGTCATGCTGAAAGGTGAACTTCCGTCCCTGTTTCAGCTTTCTTGCAGAGGGCAGCAGGTTTTCCTCAAGGAGTTTTCTGTACATTGCTCCATTCATTTCCCCTTCTATCCTGACGATGAGAAACATCCCATAATATGATGCTGCCACCACGCTTCACAGTAGGGATGGTGTTCTTTGGGTGATGTGTTGGATTTGCGCCAAACGTAACGCTTTGCATTTAGGCCAAAAAGTTAAATTTTAGTTTTGTCAGACCACAAAACTTTTTGCCACATGGCTACAAAGTCTCCCGAGTGTTTTTTTTTGCATACTTCAAATGGGATTCAAGGTGGGCTTTCTTGAGTAATGGCTTCCTTCTTGCCACCCTACCATACATGCCAGATTTGTGGAGTGCTTGGGATATTGTTGTCACATGCACACTTTGACCAGTCTTGGCCATAAAAGCCTGTAGTTATTTCAAAGTTGCCATTGGAATCATGGTAGCCTCTGATCAGTCTCCTACTTGGTTGGTCATCCAGTTTGGAGGGAGGGCCTGATCTAGGTCTTGGGGGTTGAAAGCTCCTTGGTGCTCATGGTTAAGTGATTGCTTTGCAATTCACTACCCAGCAGAGGGAACCTACAGGAACTGCTGAATTTATCCTGAAATCATGTGAATCACTACAATTGGAGGCCAATCAACTTGGCATGTGATTTTGAAGGTGACTGGTTACACCTGTGCTAATTTAGGATTGCTATTACAAGGGACACTTATCCAACCAAGCTATTTCAGGTTTTATTTTGTATTGATTTGCAAAAAATAAATCTGAATATATTTTAAACTTGGAAGTTGTGGGGTACAATGTGAAACCTACAATTTTTATGCATTTTACATCCAGGCTATAAGGCAACAAAAGGTGACATTTTTTTTAAGGGGGTGTATACTTTCTATAAGCACTGTATATGGTATTAGCAATGGTTTCATTCTACAGCCCTCTTACCTCCTACCTACCCTGTGAGTGTGAAGGTGGTACCATGTAACAACAGGGTAAGATCAAAGAAAATGTTGCTGTTGTCTTCATGCGATGGAATCATCCAATGCAGTGGTAACTCACAAGTAACTACATTGTATCTACATGGAAACAGACATCACTTAATTTTACAGCCCTGTTACTGTGACCATGCATGGTAACTAAAGGTAAAGTACTCTGAAATAACTGAGAGAATATCAACACAAGAGGATCACTTGAAGGTATTTATTTGGTATTTAAATGAAGGTATTTAAATGATAAATTACCATGTATGTTCATTGGTTTTTCTTAGGTATTACTTTGAAAGAGACCGGCGTGACTACATATTTACATGGTAATACGCTGGTTCTTACTTGTACTTCTTACTTACTTGTACTTACCTATATTATTACTAAATAAGTATGTAGTACTTACTTGCTTGTTTAAGACTAAATTGTTACTATGTATATCGTTTTTGTTACTACGTATTTACTAGGTAAATACATAGTAATTAACAGGCTATAAAATGAAGCGTTACCGAAAAATCGAATGTTTTTGGACAAACAGAAAGCCAGCACTCTTGAAATAGAAGGTTCACCAACATGTGGTCAATTACAAAATGTAATTATCTGACAATGTAGGTTTATCTGTATGCTTGTATGTTATTTTAATATGAGTGTGTGTGTTTGTGTGTTTGCGTGTGAGGATGTCGCCGGGTACTCACTGCTGACCAGCTGACCCACGCTGAGAGCGGAGGAGGAAGATGATGATGATGAGGAGGAAGAGACCTGGCGGAGAGGACTCTGACTGTGGGGCATGTGGAGCAGGTTGGGCTGAGACGACACTGGGCCTGTCTGAACCGGCTGAGCCTGAGGCAGCTGAGGACACACACACAGAAATTAAATATTGACTTAAAACAACAATACAACCACTATAATATTACAACTCAATAACACTACAAGTTATCTTGAAAATCATTTTTAGGAACTCTGTCAGGGTCTCAACTTACGGTTGAGAGTTAGAATAATAGAATACACAAGGAGCAATTTTAAAATTTGGTTTTGCATCAGCAGTCACTCAATTAGATTGGTAAATTAGTCTAGCGGCCAGCTATCTAAACTTGTAGTAAGCATGGTCGAATTACTGACCGGGGTGGGACCCATCGATCATCAGTTATCATATTAAAAACGGAAAACATTTGCCTCTACCCAATGGCAAAATGTGTAGAATTGCAGCAAACTTGCTTTAAAACGGCAACATTTTCTCTACACCCCTCTCTTCATGAGGGGGGCCGCTAAAACGTTTTGCTAAAATGTTTTGCTTGGGGGGGGGGGGGGGGGGGGGGGGGGGGGGGGGGGGTATGGAAGTGTGTATGCAGACCCACGAGTCACTGATGAGTTCCGTTTTTTTGTGGCCCCCATCAAAGTTACCCATCCCTAGAGAAGACCATTCAGAGCTAGATTACTATTGAAACAGACAGTGTTAGATTAGTATAAAAGAGACACTGGGGTTTGATAGGAGATGAATGGTGGCTCAGCTGTTTGTATTTCTCTCTCTCTTCCGCTCTCCATGAGCATTACCGTCCCATAGAGGTCTTAATGGATCCACCTGTACCCATATACCCGAGACCCGATCCGGGACTCGAGCAGGTCCGGAACCAGAATTTTAAATAATGTCACGGGTCTGGGTTGAATCTGATATGATTGTCAATGGTCTCTGCCCGGTAATTTTAAATGACTTGTCCGGAAGGGCCCGTACATATCTGAATGTACTGCTGCAGTAGAGCGAAATTATATCATTTATGCTGCTGCTCTTGCTTTTCATGAGAGTGGAGCGTGGCGCGTATAGCTTGTTGTTGGCCAAACATGAGTCATCAAAGTGGCAATAGGTTACAGTCATAGAGCCTCACTCCATGTGTGGCAAAAGTTAGGAGATATCTAATCAATGGAGGATGGAAATCAAATGACGGAATTAAAAGTTAAAGGAGAAGGATAGGCTACAATGACTAAGAGCCAACAGGTAGGCTGCTACTTAATATTCTGAATGGAGTTATTATTTGTAACTGTAGGATGAGAAAGTGCATGCACTGCAGCCTCAATTAGCCTAGCTACTGTAGCTAACTTTAGCTAGCTTAACTAGCTTCTCCCAGTTTGATGCAGTCATATTTGATGATAAATAACCTAGCTATGGCAGCTTTTAGTCTACTATAGCACGAGTCGGCTTGGTTGGTTGCTGTCTCTCGTTTCTCCCTCCCTGCTCCCAGTGTCACTCGCTCACAGTATGGTGCCCCCCGCCTGCTAGAGCAGCACTTCTGTCTCCCTCCTATCACGCTTTATCAGCTCCGGTCAATAAAGTAGCTTAAAAATATTTTCTGCTGCTTCCCTCACTCGGATTGGATCGTGTCTGGATCCGACCAGGTCTATATGGAACGGGTCTGCTTGTCCTCTGGTCCGTTCGGAATGAGTGTCTGTATATAAAAAAAATGTATGCATATTGGGTTCGGGTGGGAAAGCCCCAGGTCCATTTCAGATTTCATTCTTCCAACTTTTTGGACCCGTGAAGACCTCTACCATCCCCTGCCTGCCATACAGGAGTGTAGAAAAAAACATTTAGATAATTATAGGGTGTTTTCTCCAGTCATCACATAAGGTAATTGCTAATAAAGGCATGTCGGCGCAGGAAAAGACACCGCCACTCCCTTATCAAACTTAATTTATGATTTACAGGCAATGTGCTCTGGCTGTAAGAAAACTATGTATTTTCATGTTTGGTGCGCAAATGAATTGCTCTTACAAGATCAAGCTGATACGTCTTCACTCTAAAGTCAAAGCTGTCTCCTCCATAAACTAGGTTGACTTTCTCAGTACTCTCTCTCGCTATTAATTATTTTCCCCTCGGCATGTGTTTGTTTGGAGTGGTGGTGGATGTCAACAGCGATGCACATACTGTCGAGACGGTTGACAGGCAGTGAGAATTATCTAGCTTCACTGGAAATATTCGGCATTGCTGGCGCTGACAACCGTAAATGATACCCGTGGAACAGTCGTTGTCTACGTCCGTGGCTTTGAAGTGAGGACAAAAAAACAAACATTATTACAAACGTCCACAAGTGTGATCTGGTGTTCTGTGAAGTCACATTTAAGGCCATCTTCTGAGTTAATCCACCCTATCAGGTTTAACTACTGTCCTTGCCGTTTACATAGCATCTTTCACTTTTTTTATCTTCATTTTTATGGCTGAAAGCCGGGTCCATAGTAGACTTAAAGCTGTGACATTTCTTTGTTTTCTTTGGTAAGTGTGCCTCTGACTCCTACCATGCATTTACACGTCCATGTTCGTCTGTGCATGTTCTAAGAGAACCTCTTTTAGAGGCTCAGCACTGTGTTTTATTGTTACGCTAGCTAGAGACACACGATTCTCCTTTTAAATATGTGATTAAGGAGAATTACGACATGCTCAGGTCACAGATAAGGTCACGAATATGTGGGGAGGATGAGAGAGAGAAATATAGCGGGAGTGAGAGAAAAAAGAAACAGGGTGAAAACAGAGTGAGGTAGTGTTTGAGTTTTAAGTGGGGTGATGAAAAGTTGTTTTTCGTTTGGCTCTGCAGGGGCTCTGCAGACTGCCAGAGAGGGAGTTTGAGAGGTTCCCTGACAGGTGCTTTACACACAAACACACACCTTTGTGAGGATGCACCATGGTGCTGCTTATTAGCTCCTAAAAATAGAGTATCTTTTCAAAGGCTTGACAGATTTTGATACATGCACTATCACTTTCTTTCTGTCACACTTCTATAATCTTTACTGCCATAGTCAAGAGAGTCAATTTGAATGGTTTAATCGAAAGCAACCGCTTCCAAACACTTGGAGCAATGAAATGCTCCAGTTGGGAGTTATGTTTATGAGAAGGAAATATTTTCAAGTTGTGTTTAGACAGAAGATGAGAAGATCAGACCTGACTAGTTTTGTTTGGGTTACTTTTCTCACGAGTAAGCTATATCTACACAGATTTGTGGTCTGCGAATGTACTCAATTGGCATCTTCTGTGAGTAGGAATATCTTCATGTGTCTTGTATGTATTGTGTCTAATGTGTCTGTGCATGTGTGTGTACTATACAGTACGTGTGTGTGTGGTTACCTGCTGTCCAGGCTTGATTGGTGACAGCGTGATTCCCTGGGTGTTGATGACAGGCAGGATCTGATTGCCGATCACTGTGGCAATGATCTGGCCCTGGGTGTTGGTCAGAAGCTGAGGTGTAATTGGCTGGACCTGCAGCGCAGGGTTTCCGCCCCCTGATTGGCTCGAGGGCCCCCCAGAGTTGGGCATCAGTGGGATCGTTCCAATTATCTGCAAAGGAGGGGTGAGAGGAGAAGAAATCAGATGGGCTGTTCCAGTGATCTACAGTACATGGATAAGGGTAGGAGGGTGAACATCTTTAGAACTATTGTTCTTATAATCTACTGCACAGAAGTATGGAGTGCCTTTCAGATTATATATGAACTCCCACATCAAATAAAACATACAGTACTACTGTGTATGACAATACATGTATATCAGTGGACGCACAAACGTTTGGAATGACAGTATCAAAGCCCAAGCACTTGATGGTTGAGTTCATGTGTGTTTGCTGGTGCAGACCACTGCCTGTATTTTCCATCACCAGGCCAGGAGAGGGGCATGTATGTGTGTGAGATTCATGTGTGTATATGTGTCTTTGTCGGTTTCTGTTTAGGGGGGTTGCTAATGCTGAGACCCCTCCCCCCCACACAACACACACACACAAGTGCGCTTGCACGCACACCAACACACACACACACATACCCCAAATGTCCAATTCAGCTCCCAGGGTCCCTGGGGTACTTAATCCCCTCCTCCACTCTCCTCCTCTCATCCGCCCTCCCCAGCTCTCCTCCTCTCACCCCCCCTCCCCTCCCCAGCTCTCCTCCTCTCATACCCCCCCCCCCCTCCCCAGCGCTCCTCCTCTCACCCCCCCCCCCCCCCAGCTCTCCTCTGCTCTCCTCCATGGCTGCAGATCAAAGGGGGCAGCAGAGTGTCACCGCAGCGTTTTAGCTCTCAGAGCTGCCAGAGTGTGGCCAAGAGTAGCGCTTTAGGGGGGGATTTAGCGCCTCTTCACAATGATGAAGGTTAATGTAATCTGTGGACTGGTCCTGGACAGACAGCTTCAGAGTCTCTCTGCTTGTTCTCTTCTCTGACAGGACCACAGCATGCAGCCTCATTATGTCAGAGGAGAGTGAACATGGTTGGGCTTGCCATTATTTTACAAAACGTGTCATTTGGACATGGCTGGAAGATTTGGGCTAGCATTGTTGTATTTTGTTATAGTAAAAAACGAAGTCAAAAAATGATTACCAAAATAAATGGACACAAGCACAATTAATGTTTTGGTAGCTCATACTGCACAGGGTTTCTGCCTACTTCAAGCATTGTGTATAAATCAAGATTATTACACATGCACCTGCCACTATGTATAATTTCACAGCGAGATGCAAACAGGTCCCCCCATACTGTAGTCCAGCATCTCACAACTGCTCTCAGTGCTAATCTGATTCTCCCTGCCATGCCTCTCTCTGCTTTATTGGACTCCCCTCCCCTCTCCCCCCTCTCAGTTTGACATAATGGGGAAGGATTCGTGGTGTAAAGGTAGGTAATCTGTAATTCATCCCCTCCACGGCTCATTTGCTTACGTTGCTTCGCGTTAAGCTACAGATAATTTATCTCTCTCTCCGCGCTCTGTGTCGCCTCCCCTGTAATGCTCTCCTCTCCTGCCACTTAGCATATTTTATTGCGCCGCCTGATGCTAATGTCTCTCGACGTCTGGCTTCGCGTGCCTCTGTGGCGGAGGACTTGTTCCGCTCAATTATTCATCCTCATTGGACTAAGTGGTTGTTCTATAAGCGTAATAACACAGGCAGGGAACTGACAGCTTAGCTCTTGTCCCGGATGCAACGCTACTTCTCGCCCTCAGACCTCTTGGATGATATATGGCAGTGCTTAGATGGCGTTCCTCAAGGCAGTCAATTGTGACACTGATTATGTAAAACATGAACATTCTGATGGAAACCTGTAGATTCACGGAGAGGTCCATGGAGAATACATGCTTTGGTGGAAGACTACAGCCAGTTATGGCATTTTGTACACACAGAGTCACATACGTTGTGGCACCATCTAACAAACAATAGTATTGTCAGCTTTGTCCAACCAGCATCCTTTATGTTTCCCTTTCCTCTCTGTCTTTTTCCTCCTCATGTATTTGTTTTCCACTCGTGATAGTGTGGCGTGTCAGGAACGGTCAGGACCTGCATCCTCCTCTCCCTCTCCCTTCTCTCAGCAGAACTCATTAAGATTATCCTTCTCTTCTCTTGTTTCCACAGAAATGCCATCTCATCTATCCAGCCAGGCCAGGGCAATCTGTGGTGTTAGCCATGGTGGCCAGACAATATCTCTGGCCATTTTCCCCTCCTGCTATCTCCGTGCTGGGAATAGAGAACCATGTTGGAATAGAGAACCATGTTGGAATAGAGAACCATGTTGGAATAGAGAACCATGTTGGAATAGAGACCCATGTTGGAATAGAGAACCATGTTGGAATAGAGAACCATGTTGGAATAGAGAACCATGTTGGAATAGAGACCCATGTTGGAATAGAGAACCATGTTGGAATAGAGAACCAGGTTGGAATAGAGACCCATGTTGGAATAGAGAACCAGGTTGGAATAGAGAACCAGGTTGGAATAGAGAACCATGTTTGAATAGAGACCCATGTTGGAATAGAGAACCAGGTTGGAATAGAGAACCAGGTTGGAATAGAGAACCAGGTTGGAATAGAGAACCAGGTTGGAATAGAGACCCATGTTGGAATAGAGACCCATGTTGGAATAGAGAACCATGTTTGAATAGAAACCCATGTTGGAATAGAGAACCAGGTTGGAATAGAGAACCATGTTGGAATAGAGAACCATGTTGGAATAGAGAGCCATGTTGGAATAGAGAACCAGGTTGGAATAGAGAACCATGTTGGAATAGAGAACCATGTTGGAATAGAGAACCAGGTTGGAATAGAGAACCAGGTTGGAATAGAGAACCAGGTTGGAATAGAGAACCATGTTGGAATAGAGAACCATGTTGGAATAGAGAACCAGGTTGGAATAGAGAACCAGGTTGGAATAGAGAACCAGGTTGGAATAGAGAACCATGTTGGAATAGAGAACCAGGTTGGAATAGAGAACCATGTTGGAATAGAGAACCATGTTTAAATAGAGAACCATGTTGGAATAGAGACCCAGGTTGGGAAACGTTTGGAAGTCCTGACTTACTTCATTACAGCTCAAAGACACTAAGCATATCCATTTGATAAAGGATGTTAATTGCTTTATAAGATCACAAAGTCAGATGTAAAGCCCTCTTGATTGTGGGCCTAAAACAGTGTGAATATTCTACCATATTACAAAATATACAGATACCTACAGTATTATTTACCTGCCTTTATTTGCCCCGCTGTTAGGTTTCAAAATTTAAAATGACAATGTCAGAATATGTTTCCTCTACCTCTGAGGACTGAGGGCTTCCGCACGCAGGAGTGAATTTGTATTTCAATGGAGTCCCTCCGTGGTTGTGCACATGCAGGTTAACAGAGCATGTGTGTTCCTACCTGGTATTGTGTGTATTAGTAACAGCAGTCTGGCCTGTGGGCTGTGGCCTTTATCAAAGCTCAGTGAAGGGGATGGATGGGCCCAAAAGCCCAGGCTCATGGGGGTTTCACCAGGAAACACAAAGACCAGGAACCAAGGTTAACAGCGAAAAAATACTACAGTTTACTATAGAATACTACAGTATTTACTGTAGAATTCTTTAGTAAACTGTAGTATACTGTAGAATACTATACTACACACTGCAGTATCCCTCGATCATGTGTAGTATTTACTATAGAATTTTGTAGTATACTGTAGAAAACGATAGTAAATAATACAGTATATCTCAGACCGCAAAAACACTACAGTAAATACTACAGTAATTTCTGCAAAAACATTCCAGTCTGCAAAACACTATAGTAATTACTATAGTATATTATACTACAGTATTTCATTTGCATATACCCTGCCCATTCCCCTCCCCTATATCCCAATTTGGGCCACCCAAGTATAGACCATATATTTTGTTCCCTACAGGTTGTCCGTTCAGACCTCAGTCCTAACTACTTACAAGTTATGGAAAATTTGCTCTTTGAGTATTTTGTCCAGTAGGTTTCCTCTAGGAGAAAGCCCCCACTGCTATATCAAAGACAATAAAACAGAAACACTATAGTAAATACTACAGTAATGTCCACAAAAACACTACAGTAAATTACAGTAAGCAAAAACCATGCAGTAATTACTATAGTATACTGTATACTGCAGTTTTTTACTACAGTATTTATGCTATAGTAAACTGGAAATACAGTATATGTCCATAACACTACAGTAAATACAGTATTCACTGTACACTACAAAAAGTGAAATCCAAGCAAGCCTAAATATCTTATATTGAGTGATAATTCACTTAAAATTGTTTTTTTTCCTTGTTTTTTGTACCAAGCTAAATTATGTAACGTCATTGGCAGATCATTTTGCTTATTTTAATCAAAAAAATGCCTAATACAAGTAATTGATCTTATTTCAAGATCTTTAAAAATATATTTTACCTTAATTGTTGTATTAGATACTGAGGAAACAAAAATAAAATGGTATAATGCTTTCCTAAGGCAGTCTGTGTATATCAAATTAATTCTTACTATTTTCTCACAGACGTAGTCACAAAGATGGGACTGAAGAGTGGCTTCATCGACTAGCCTTGGAAAGTGAAAAAAGATTGACAAATGTAATCAGGTGGACACATGTTAAAGCCACATTATCAAATCCAATGCTTTTCAAGGCCCCTGTCTGGAACCTACACTAAACAAGCTAAGAGAGAGAAATCAACTGGGCATTAATGACCGGGTCATCTACTGTGTTATGCTCTCTTCAAAAAAGACAAATACTTCATTTAGATAAAAATACCTATAGAAGAAGAAAGGACTCCAAATGAAGGCAGGACAAGTATTTTCATTCGGATACTTTGATCAAATTCCTTGTGCTTTTAGTACAGTAACAATGTTGTTACGATGCTGCATAACCTAGCTAAACCACTGCTCTCTAACCTAGCTAAACCACTGCTCTCTAACCTAGCTAAACCACTACAGAATATTCAACAAGCACACACATTGTGGAGCTATTCTAGTTCCTCTATCATTCTTCCAGCAAAACAAACACCAAAGTCTGTTTGGGATTCTACAGACTGACACAAGTGCTGCTTTTATGGTGGGCATTCAGCTTCTGAGGCAGTGTTTGTTTGTCCTCCAGTCAAGTTGCAGGCATGCATTAGTCTCTGTAATGTTGCCAGTATCAGAGGGGTGGTGGGGTATGTGTGAGTATGTGCGCGATTGTGTGCATGTGCACGAGGACGCGTGCGTGCATCCATCTGTGTGAGTGCGTGCCTGTGTGGTGGGGGGAACCCTGCGTTAGTAGTAGTGTGGTGCATGTTTCGGAGCGCTCAGACTGAATAATGCTCTGGAATAATGAGGTCAGGGAGCAAAGGACTGTAGCCCAGGGCTTTGACCGTCTCTGTGACCTTATTATGTCAGCCAGTGTCAGTCGGCGTGACATTACAAAAGCACAGAGCATCCCATCAAATCCATCTCAATGGGGATCTGTCCCCGGCGCTCTGGCCGTTTCCAGACCAGGGAAACCCATACTGTCTCATTAGCTGTGTTTAGCATCAAGGGCTAACACACACTCACGCATGTTGTTTACGGTATAGACTACATGTTGGCAAATGAATAGAAGAACATATACACTCTCGAGAAACACATTTATACACAATTATAAGTAGCCTACAATATGTGCATTGCTTAGTCATGAGCATATTGAGAAAAACTCCCCATGTACAGCAACTCTTACGCCTTACAGACTTCCTACACAAACAAACATGG